AGCCAGTGGAGAAAGGACAGTGCTCCCTGCCCGCGGGGTCCCAGCTGGCCTGCGTCTCAGTCCCCGCGAGGCCACACATGCACGCTTGTGGGGATGCCCTCCACTCGGGCTTGGCCACAGGGACCCCGCGAGGTGTGGGGCCCGAGTGAGTGGCATGGTGACACTGTGGGTTCCAGGCGGCGTACACGTTTGATGCAGGCCCAAATGCTGTGGTCTTCACCCTGGACGACACCGTGGCTGAGTTCGTGGCTGCCGTGAGGCACAGCTTCCCCCCTGCGTCGAATGCAGACGAGTGAGTGCTGGTCCTTGCACCCCCTTTCTTGGAGAGGGTACCAGGAGCACCTGCGGGACAGGATGGCTGGCCCAGGGCTGGACCCCAGCAGCGGGCCCTGCCATGTCATGCCTCTGTGGGCTACAGCCACACACGCGTGACCACTCCCAGAGAATGGCCGCTGGGAGCCCCAGCTCCCCCAGGTGCTCGCGTGGCGTGTCTTGGGGCTGTGGCTTACCTTCCAAGGAGGAGGGTTCCAACAGCTGATTCCCTTTACCAGAACGAGGCTGGGCCCTGCACGGTGCCCACTGTCACTCTCTTGCGCTGGGTGCCACCTCTGGCTGGGTCCGACTGCCGTGTCCTGGCCCCGAGCACGGCCCAGGCCCAGCCTGTCAGGGTGGGTAGCGGGCCGCTGCCCTCCAGTGGTCGCCTGGTCCTTGTTCCCCTGTCCTTCCCCCTCCCCCCGCCAGGACGGTCTTGGAGAGTGTGGGACTTCCATCTGTCCCTCCTGGAGGTCTCGGGGCTGAGAGCGTTTGTCACCTGGCCGTGGGGACAGGCGGCAGACTACACGCCTGCCTGCTCTCCCAAGGCCTCTCCCCATGGGGCTGCTCCCTGACCCTCCTTGCCTGGGAAGGTGACCAGTCCTTGCCGTGGTGCCCTGGGGCCCAGGAACCACGCGCCAGGAGCAAGCCCAGAACCTCCTGAAAGCTCAGAGCCTTTTCCAGAGAGCCCACCTGGCCCTCGGCACCCTGCCTCACTGTCGTGTTGGTAAAACACACATACCGCTCCGTGTCCGGTCCCTGAGTGTCCACTGCCGGGTGATGAGCCACGGGGTGCAGCCGCTGCCTGGCTCCCCCATGACCCAGCCACCCCGGGATGTCAGCTCCAGCCCTGGAGCCGAGGTCGCGCTGGTCTGGGAGGCGGCTCTGCCCATGGCACCCCGTGACCGAGTCCCGGCCGCCTGGTCCACCCTCAGGTTCCTGAAGGGGCTGCAGGTGGGGCCCGCCCTCCTCTCCGAGGAACTGAAGGCGGCGCTGGCAATGGAGCCCAGCCCTGGTGCCATCAGATACGTCATCGCCACTCAGGTGAGCCTGGCAGTTGCGCGGCCACCAACTCTGGGCCTCGCGGCTCCGGCAGCCGCCCTCGCCCGTGCTGGCTCCACGGCGGCCGAGGCACACCGTCAGCTCCCTGGTTACCGAGCGTGGCTGGCGGCTGGGCTGGGGCTGGGTGGGACCCCCTTGTGGAGATGAATGGGGACACATCACTCATCTGGACAGCAGCCCTGGGGTGACCTGTGGGGTGCAGCCTCAGCCCTGGGGCCCAGATGGGGATCCCTACTTCCTGTCCAGACCCCGCTCACAGAGGCTGTTGGCCGTGGCTGCACCCCTCCCCACCTCCCTGCACTCCACCGCGGAGACCATAGCTCAGGGCTGTGTGTTGGGGCTGTCCGACTCCCCATCCCTCCCTCGGTCGGGGTGATTCAGGTGCTGACGAGGCAGAATGGGTGGGTCTGCCCGGACAAGGGGTGTGAGGTCCCATCCGTGCTCAGTGACTGACCCTGACTTAAGGGGAAGGTGGGAAGAGGTGATGCCCTGTCCCTCTGTGATCCACCTGCCTCCTGGGGCGGTGACTGACACCAATCTCTTCTTCTCCCAGGTGGGGCCTGGGCCTCAAGTGCTGGACGACCCCCACACTCACCTCCTGGGCCCTGACGGCCTGCCGAAGCTGGGTGCCTGACCGCCTCCATGACGGGCCCACTGCCTCCTGGCGACGGGGCTGAGCCCCGGGAGGGGTGGAGGCGGGGACCGCTGGCTTGGGCTAGGAGCCCAAGTGCCTGTCCTTTGCCCGCCTACACCCAGTGTCCTAAGGGTGGGCTCTAGTCTGGGAGCCGGTTAGGTGTGGAGCACTGGTGCCTTGGGGCAGGAGGGCCCCCGCCCCAACTCTGGCCCACTCTGGGCCGTCCCTCCTCGTGGCAGGGGCGTGCTGGCTGGAACACTTCTCTCTGAAGGGCCTCAGGCATCCCGGCAGGTGGCCTTGGCAGGGACGGGGCCTCGACTGTGCTGTGGGCCCCGTGACCTTGGGAATAAACCCAGCATTGCCGACATTGCCGACCTGTCCGTGTGCTCCTTCCCTGCAGCATCGTGGGCGGGGAGGGTGAGCAGCCCTCACCGGGATGGGATGGGGTGCCCCAGCCTGAGGGCAAAGAGAGAGGGCACTCCGAAGGGAGGGGCTGTGGATAGAGAAAGGGTAGACGTGAAGGTGGGAGTCAGGAAGACCCCACGCGGTGACCGGCTGTTCTGTGTTGTTTTAGGGGGGCAAAGCCAACATGCCCAGGTAAGTTCAAGCTGCCAGGTTTGGACTCAAACCATGGTCGACTACGTGGGAGTCCAGTGGCATAACCGCTATGCCACCTGAGTCCTGTGGTTCTTTTTCTGGGGGGGTGGGAGAAGAGGTTTTTGCTATAGGGCGCGTGCGCTCGCCAGATAGAGACAGAGACAGATAGAAAGCGAGAAATCACCCCTCCAGGGGGGATGGTCATGCCGCAATCCCTTCTCCATTCTCCTCTCGGGATCTTGGCCACGCACGCACACGCGCCCGGCATGAGTTTTAAGCCACCGGGTCCGGGACGTGAACCGTGGTCAACCACGTAGGAGTCCATAGCCTTTATGCTAACTGCTGGTCTCTGTGAATGCCATGGTTCTAAGGAGCCTGTCCTGGCTGGCCGGCCCAGGCCCCTTCTCTGCGGCCCTGCAGTAGACTGCCTGTGTGAAGAGCCCCCCCCCCCCCCGTGCCCTGCAGCCACTGCACTGACTGCTTCAAGGCTCTCTGTGGGAGGCCATGTCCTGGCGGGGATCCCCAGGAGCCATCATGGGGGCACACCTGCATCCCCTGCAGCACAGAGGCAGCTGGAGGTCGTGGGCCTGGCCCTCCGCTCCGGGGCCCTCGGCCCCTACTGCCTGCCCTGGGTGACCACCGCCTGGTTCGAGAGGCCTGTGGCCAGGCCCATCTGCCTGGTCAGAAAGCTGACGTTTCTCCCCCTGACACCCTGGATCAGAACACCCCAGGTGTCCTGGGGTGACGCTGCCAGGGCCAGGGTGGAGGCAGAAGCCGAGGCGTGCTTGGGCAAACCCGCTTGGGAGGGTTCCCCACGTGGCGCAGGATGGGGTGCTTGGCCAGGCCTTTTCTGGGCCCCCAGTTGGCAAGAGGCTCCCTGAGCCAGGGTCTGAGTCTGATGGGGAGAGAAGGTGGGAGGGGCCTACCAGGTCCCCCGGTGGCTGGGGCGTGGCTGGCGGAGGGGCGTGGCTATGGGCGTGGCTGGCGGAGGGGCGTGGCCGAGCGGGCTCGGCGGGCGCGGGACCAGCG